CTAAAATAAAAACTACTTTTCTACTTATCTCAAAGCTCCCCTCCAGACATGTATTAAGACATTTATACATTAGTCTGTTTGGAATGTGTGTCTGATATATTTATTTCTACTAAAAAAGTACAATTTCCACAATAAACTTCCACGTTAAAACTTCCAGAATCTCTGAATATGCAAATGTTGTTGATTTCTAAAGTGCTGGACACAAGATGTCTTCTACTTCACTGTAAAGTCCATTCTCAGTTTACTGTCATGGTTTGACAGTTTTTCGCCATAAAATCTACAGACATTCTTAAAAGTGTAAGCAGAGTGGCATACCACAAAAGATCGTGTGTGTGTGTGTGTGTGTGTGTGTGTGTGTGTGTGTGTGTATGTGTGTATGTGTGTGTGTATGTGTGTGCTTAGGGAGTAGAAAGTAGGAACAGTACCACCAAAAGTTGAAAAATAACAAAAAAGATAAATGAGTGAATTTATTAAGGTTTAAGGGGAAAAAACACAAGTTTTAGACATTTTTATTCACTACATTTTTATTTTTTCACTAAATTATTATCATATTCATTTTCATTTGTTTATTATTCAATTATTCTATCCTTTCACGCCCTTTTGTCAGTCTGGAGCTCCTTACAGATCCACATTCAGCTATAGAGAATTAGCATTTACATTTAAATCAGTCTCTTTATCTGTATCCTAGTTGGAGTTACAATCAATCCTTTCTTTTCTCCTAAGTCAGGCTCCACTCTCCTGTGTCTCCAGGGCTGAAGGCCATACACGCACCACTCACACACACACAAACACACACACACCTATACACACACACACACACACACACACACACACACACACAGACTGTCTGACATAAATGCTGCTGGGTGAGATGGAAGACAAGCAGTGAGACACAGTAGCCATGTTGACTCAGCCCAGGAAATAAACAGACTGATATACACACACACACACACACACACACACACACACACACACACACACACACACACACACACAGAGAGAGAGAGCCATGCTTCTACTGGCAATGGGCTGTGATATTTTCCGCCAAATTTCCACTCCCAGTCCCTAAACAAAAATAATCTTCCTGAAGCAGTGTCTTTACCAAAATATCACCAGAATACCGATGTACAGAATGAGAATGCTGCAAAAGCTGCTTTCTTAGTTCAAATGGGACAATAAACCACAAGAAGCAGCTCAGTAAAGAATTAACACATTATAATCCAGCCTTCCACTAGCTACACATCAACCATTTCAAACGGAGTCCACTTGATAATAAACTGCACAAGCACTGAGCCGGTTCTTATCTGTCAGGTGCAGCAGCGGCAATAGGAGCTGAGGTAGAGGAGAGGATAGCTGGAAGATAGGTGGAGCCCTGATGCTGCTGACCCACCCTGGACCATTTCCAGAGGTGTCAGCCTCTCCATCAGCAATCAGACCGTGGGCTCTCAACGCCACAGCGGCCCAGTGCCCGATCCACACTGACGTGGGCATCCATGCAGACTCTCCTCTAAATGGGCTTTGTGTGCATTTGAGTGTCTCTATCCAGGAATCTAAGTGGAGGGAAATATCTAAAATGTATGACTTTTGCCAAATTTATGAGCTGCCTGATGTGGCAGGCAAACAAATCATAGAAGGGCACTTTCAAAAGGGGTTTTGATTTCTTAAATCAAAGTTATAATTACTGCTGAAATGATTAGTCAATTGACAGAAGGGTATTCAAAAAACATTTTGGCAGCCATTTATCAAGAAAAAAATCTTCTTTAAAATTTGCTGCTTCCAGCTTGTCAAAAATTATTTTCTCTATTTAGTATCATGCCAATGAGTCCCCAAACAACAAATAAGACCGATGGAGAGTACCAGCGACAGGTGTAACTAACTTTCAACATGTTATGCAAGTTGTATATTAAAGGTCCAGTGTGTAACATTTAGGAGGACCTATTGGCAGAAATGGAATATCATATTCATAGGTATGTTTTCATTAGTGTATAATTACCTGAAAATAAGAATCATTGTGTTTTCGTTACCTTAGAATGAGCTTTTTATCGTTTATATCTACAGACTCTGGAGGTATTCTATGGAGGCTACCATGTTTCTATCGTAGCCCAGAAAGGACTTTCTTTTTCTCATGCTTGGAAAGGGTGAATGGAGTGAGTTGCAATCTGCAACTATACCACTAAATGTCACTAAATCCACACTGGAACTTTAAACATGTGGTTAACGTTGTGAAACTGTCACAATTTGGTTAGGTTTACTTACCATAACTGCTTGGTTAGGTTAATAAAACGATCTTTGTTTGTGTTTTGGGTTGAAATAACCATTTTAGGTGACGTAACCTAACTTAAGTAACTTAAAACTTTGACTACGTAAATGTCCATCCATCTACCTCAACCTCCTCTCTGTGCAGACTTCCTCACTCTTTATAACGCTACAGTCATAATTACGACAGCCACTAGAGGTTGCCATCTAACACTAAATGCAAGTATGGGTTGTAAAAAGCAAACATTTGGTCATGAGTTTAGACATTATCAGACCGTCTTTGTCTTCTTTTTACAACAATGATGGGGCCCTGTAGGACTATGAGGCCATTGCAGCCCTCGTTCACAGTACTTTACGGCCCTGGAATAAGAGATCATCATTGCCTTTAAATACAGTATCTTGAAAAAAATATCTTAACTCGGTTTTCTGGAGCTTTCAACCACATCTCACAGTCTTCCTTAGCAGATGGACCTTGCTCAGTCCTCCAAAGTGTGGATAATAAATAGTAACGTGTGATTACAGGTCTATCTGTTGAGGAACACCATGAAATATGAAAGCTCTGGAGAAAAAGAGGTAGTGAGTGGATCTTGACTTAAAGGTTTTGATAAACGTGTAGGACCTGTATTATCAAAACACACTTGTTGTTGCCACCTGTAACCACAGGGGTCACCAGATCAACCAGGATGCAAATTTTAAGGGTTATCTCTTGCTTTGCCTCTAAATTCATCATTTGCCATCAGGGTAGTACAGAGTAAGGCTAGTAAATAGAAAATATGCATCATAGAAAGTTTGAAAGCTAAAGGAAGATAAACGATTACCTCACTGAAGTTTACCCAGCTTTCCTTTTCCCTTTCATTACATTACTATATCCTTGTCTGAGTTTGGGTGTCTTCTCCAAGTTAGCTCCCTGCAGAGTTTAAAAATGTTCCACAGGAGATAATATATTCTGATGGGGATGGTTAATGTGCTCAGCTTCCCTCTGCCTCCGTCTCTAGGGGGGTCTGGCATTAGAGTTGAGTCTCACTCAAACAAACACAACGCCGGGCGAATCGCTGCGTGCAATCTGATTCATTGCCTTTCCCGAGCGCACATCCATCTCCTCTTTGTCTCCCTCTTACCTCCCTCAAACACACTTTCTTTTTTGTCTTATTTTCCCCATTATTCTCACTCCGACTCTTGAACAGAAATAAGTTGTAAATATTTATGAGTCTTTCTTGGTTCTATATCCAAAGATTGCCACTTGCAGAAAATGGCTTGTTTATGGCTTCCCCTATATCCAGCTCCATCTGTTTTGCTCTGTCGTTGCTCCTCCTGCTCTCTTTCAATGTAAAATATCACCAACAACCCTATACACCACATTGATATCTTATTATGTATATTTGAGCCTGTCGTGTCATGTATGTGGGCTGAAAAACAACTACAGGCCCCAACTGTTTTCCTTCTGTGCTGAAATTGGGGAGTCTTAAATTAATTCTACCTGCTTGTTTAATTCGCCACCCTGGCTGAAGTAATTAACGCTTCAGGTGATATTGTGGGAACACATCCAGAGATTAGAAGGTAATTAATATGATGAGCGAGGACAAGCCGAGCTTCTGCAGAAGATACAAGCTGCTTTATTCTTGACAAGCAAGCAGGTTAGGGCTGGAGGTTCTTCTCAGGAAATGACAGGGTGCTTGAATCTGGTGACAAAGAGAGTGTATTATATTGCTTTTAGGCCTGGGGGGGGGGAGGCAAACAGTGACCTCGGACTGACAAACATCCACTAATGGACTATATCAGTCACAAAGCCTTTAAGCCCTAAAATACCTTAATTTGCATCATTTAAATGTGTAAAACAACAGACTATAAAAGCTTAAATTAAAAAGATAGGTTCATCATTCCTGTTAACATGCCAATAAGGAGGCAAACACAGAATATACACCAAATAAAGACCCAACATGTCTCCCTCAGTGACCCTAACTGCAGGAATTTCTCTCCATCTTCCCAGCAAACCCAGTGGACAGGAGATGGTCCACAGATCTGTGTGAGCTAATGGAGATTGTGTGTGAGCAGCCCTCCCTGCCATAGGCACAGCCGAGTCAGACTGAACTGAGAAACTGCGTCTGAGACTAGAGGTGCGACTGCCCCCCCAACCCTGTTCGGAATAAAAATTATGAAAGAAGCATCATCACATGCAGAGAGCCAGCTCAGGACGCAGGTACTGTATACACAAATGCAGCCAGGGTTGCTCCCCCTCCTCAACTCACACTCAGAGATGACCAGAAAAAGAGGGTTGTTCATGGGGCAATACATGCTGATCTGCTAGGAAAATTGAAAGCAAAGACACCATATCTGCCCTAAAAAGGTTTTGTGAATTTATACAAGTTTCTGCACAAAAACCATAAACTTCCTTTGTGTAAGCAACGGGATGTAGAAAATTTCACTTTTCACGGCATCAAACCTTTCTGTTAAATTGTGTTTGTACTACTTGTAATACTTTCATGAAAGTGGGGAAACAGTAAGAGCAGAAAATGCAACAAAATGTGTTGAATTAGTGAAAACTCACTCAATGTTCTCTTTTAAATGTCGGTCTGGGCATTATAAGGTCTCATGCGCACTATAATGAGCGCACGTTGGTGAATTTTACACCCATTTTGAACTATGTTGCCCTTATTAAGTCTCACAACTCATTTAAAACAATGTATACGGCCAGTAAAATGACTGCAATTAAAAACAACAACAACAACAACAACAACAGTGTTTACCTGACCACTCCGTACATGACGAGGACGTTGCCCAGGAGTCCCACCACGCAAATGACCGAGTAGAGAGCCGTGATGGATATGGCTATGATGATACCCCCGGCGCTCCTCACCGGACCCTGCTGCTCGGTGTAGTTCTGCAGCCTGTCGCCCATCAAGCCGCTCTCCTCGTCCGGGAAGGTGACATTGAAGGGGATGACGGAGTAAAGGTCGGACAGGGAGAGCTGCGCTCCTGGGACCGTGTACGGCTCCATGCTGCGGCCGCTGCGGCGCTGTCCACTCTGCTCGTGGTGCTGAAAAACTTGCTCACACAATTACCTTAAAGGAAGTTGATTGTCAGGAAAGGGGAGAGCGGGTCCGACTAAAAGGCAAGAAGCGGAAAGAGAAGAGTGAAGGAGTTTCCAAAAAAAAAGAAATGTGTGGACGCAGAGAGGAGCCCTGCGTGCGAGAATTCCCTGTGATTTCTATCCAGATAGAAGAGGAGACCGTGGCCCCTCAGCAGCAGTCAGCTGTGTCTGTGTGCCGTGGCTGTGTGTACACACACCTCTTATACTCTCCAAGACCCCCCACCTCACAGCCGGGGTCCGTGCGTCGACGTCAAGGCTGCGCATTATGGGCGTCAAAAAAAGAGAAGGCAAAGTGATGGGTGCGCCATACCTGAACCGACCTGAATGCATCTGGTGGGTTCTATCTTTAAACTGAGAGCTAAGATAAAGAAATAATCTTATAATGGTAATAAAGAGTAATGAATCATTCCCAATCGTAAAGATTTAGGGCAGGAAAAAGTCACTCACACTGAGGCCAGACACTGCAGGCACAATCCTCGGTTTTTTAACGCACAATTTCAGTTTGGAGATTTTGGTTTTTTTCTAACAGCTCTTTTTGACCAGTGAAATAAATGCTCGAATACCATTAGGTGTTTTTTCCTTCTTTGTCATATATCTGTGATGTCTTTGGTTCCTTATATCCAAAGTTGCATTGATAATCATTTGAACATTCATACATATATTTCTTAAAACAAAAATAATTTTTTCTATATCTCTTCCTTCTTTTACCCTTTTCACTGTATGTCTTACAAATGTATTGTGTTTTACAGTAATAAAAAAGATTTTCTCGGTGGCTGTTACCAGTATTTTCTTATTTATTGTTTGATAAAAAGAGATCTCCAACATTCCCTCTGTAAAAACCTTTTATTCTTATATATCAACAAAATGAAAAAATAATCTTATTTTGATAGGACAGGTGAAGATTGCCAGCAAAGGGCTGCAGGTTGGAATCGAACCCCAAACTATGCGGTAAGGACTCCATTTGGCTCTACCAGGTGAGCATATGCAAAATAGTGCATTTTTAATTAGATAATGCATCATTTGCACATTTAAACAACCCTTAATTGAAGTAATCAACTGGGGAAGATTCCTGGTGACATCTAATAGTTTATTATGTTTTTATCCTGTTCACCTGTAGTAAAGCTGATGCAAGAACTGTGCGCATACAAGTTAGACTGATGTGTCTGTTTGCAAGCTGTGAAAATAATCAACCCAGCTGCCAACAAATAAAACAAGTCTAAAATCGATAGAGTTCCCATTGAAGTAATTTAGGGATGTGTGCAACAGAGAAAAAAACAGTTTCACAATGTTTTGACAGCGTGGGATGAAAGCCCAAATCAGTAGTCCCTCCTTACACAACGAAAAACTCAGATGTCACAGCGATGAATAAAATGATCATGACAATTGAGAAAACAATGTAACCTCAGCAGGGTCCATTTAGAGCTTTTTTTATATCACATGATCTTCATGAGCAATTTTTTTCTGAGCACTTTAAAGAGTATCTGAACACCCATTAAAATGTGTTTGCTGACCTTCAGTGGTTGAACTCACCTTCATGCAGTGACTTACAGGTGTACTCCAGGACCCGGTGACATCACCGTTGGGTGTGGTTCCAGCGTCTCTTGTCACATTGTTTTCACATTGTAATTTCATACATTGTTTTGATAGTATAAACATATACATTATACCCACTCTAAACTCTGCATGGCATAGTGATTAGCTCACAGGGCTGTGTCATGGATGGATTAAGGGAGACAGCGTTTTTGGCAAAGTTCCATTAATTCCTACGGAAACAGCTCAGTGGCGCATGAAGCCAGAAAAATTGGATTTGGATTTTCCAACTGCAAGAATAGACAGGAAGTTAGCCAAAAACACCTTTAAGGTACAGAATAGCTAGGCTACTAAATGGACTGTTTGGTGAGACTGTTCTGTCAACTGCTGTTTCTTAAGTTAAGAATGACTTTGAACCTCAGGAATATCACAGTAACAACTATCAAATAAAGTTCATTTTAAACTCATCATTCCCTTTGCTCAATATCCATCCATCCAGATTCAACGACACATTTCATTCTCTTCGATGCCACATCCAGTTGAGAAGAGCCTTTGTATGGGTCGGCCTGTCCATTAGCTACTGTACATCATGACACCCAGAGTGCCTTAATATATCACATCTCGTCTGCACTGTCCGTCTGTATAGGATTGATCAAGGTGAGCCAGGAGTGCAGGCAAAGGCAATTGCATTGTCGTCTCCTGGGCCGACAAAGGTTGATCGATCTTGGACGCTTTCTACTCGCTCATCAGCGCTTATCTGATGGCTGTGATGTGCCTCATGGGAAATGAAATGCTTAACAGATATACAACAGTGCTGGAGTTCAGATGGGTCAATATTGTCTGTCCCCCAACCCTGTCCAACCCTGTGACCAACAACACATCAGCTGATCACCTTCTCCACCTTCCCAGAACAATATGCATGTGTCTGAGTTAGTTACTTACTTCTGCTCTTCTCACACCTTTCCTTCCATCACAGTGTAATTGAACTAGCTGTTTCTCCAGCAGTCCCTTTTTGCCATTTAATTAGTGTTGAGTTCTGTTCTCCATAGTACACTTTTCATTTGCTGTATGCTCGGTGCAGCCCCTTCCTGGAGAGAGCTCTTAATTACCATGAAGACAAAATGTCTTATGCACACTGATTAATGTTATTTTATGTTGTTGTGCATTTCACCTTCTTCGAACACCTGCATGTCTTCTTTGTTATTTTAGACAACCTGCTCTTCACCCCAGACAAATACTGAAAGGGACAGTGAGGGACAGGAACAGAACTCTCATCCCCACTCGATAGTGATAGCTGAAAAGTGGACTGTGATTGAACGGCCATTAGCACAAATCCCCGGCGTGATGGTCAAAATTGGCTGGTAATAAAGGTAAGAAGAAGAAAATGGCTGGTAAGAAGAAGAAAATTGGAGGGAGAAGAAATATTCATTCCATGTTCACCTGACCTGTTGATGGACCCTCAAGCAGGCCACGTAAACCTCCATTTACCATTCGCTAAATCACTCAGCAGACCAGTCAAGCTTTGGATTTCTCCACGTCTCCAAGCGCCCAGCATGGGGCTCTAAAGTTAAAGATAGTTAAGAGTATGAAAATTGTATATTTCTTAGCCGTTCGAAAACATGAGCAAAGTGTAAAGAATGGATTAAACTGTGTTTTTATTTGCAATAAGACGCAGCCTTTAGTCTGAAGGAGGTTCAAATCTGAAGCAGCTCCTCCATTTTTAGTGAAGAGCTCTACATTTTTCAGTATTACCATGTTGAACGGCCTTTCCATTTTTGATGCTGGCTCTAAGAAAGGAGAGGCACCTTACGAAAGCTACATGCTCAGTGAAACAGGCGAAAGTGCAGTCTGATGCTCCTCTGCATTTCACATCAAATGAAAGGAATCAATACCCAGTTGCTAATAAAACAGCAGGTTAATGTGAATCCAAACATCGGCCTCAACATTACTTTTACTTTGTCACAGTGTGTTGTTGTCAGTCTGGTGTTACAGTGAGTGAGGGGATCAGGTTCATTTGCTCATGTGATATATATATAAGCTTGTGTCTTTCCATTATGCAGAGATCAATAGCATAAGTGATTGACATTGAGTACATAAAAGCACAGGATGTGTGTCATGACAAGAAGGTCACCTGACTATGACGATGATTGTTCAGGATAACGGGCTGTTGTACAAATGGGACTTTGGTCCAATTGGACATTTCTAAGACTGTTGGGGTTTCAAAATAATGGCTCATCTGAACAATGGGAAATGGGCAATAGTTGATATATCTGATAACTGATTTTGACACCAGCGATAGTTGTCATTTGACTGAATCCTGAAACCCACTTTTGTCTGTCTGTAATGAAGGATGTTAAATCTGCAACTGTTTATTATTATTATTATTATTATTGTAAATTACATATGTGCTGTGAGTTTATCAGACATTGCTAATAACTAAGAGGGACAGGGATTTGAGCAAATGGTCAATTACACAAGCACCTGGCCAGTGGCTGAAATTAGAAGTTGCTAAAAAAGAAGCATAAATAAATGAAAAACTTAAAAATTGATGCACTCAAACACTGAGTCCATGTCAAGGTTCGGTGTACCACAGTTTCTTTGTTGCCCCTTAAGGAGAGAAGCACCTGTTACACACATCTCTGTAGCCTCGAGCGACAGGCAGGTCCACTGAAACAAAACAAAACATTTCAACTTCCACCTCTTATGTCATTGCAGCTCACATCCCTTGTGGCATTCAGTTATTTTTCACCCCCAAATCCTTGTCTTGTTTAGCTATGGCAAAAATCGATGAAGCGTCTGAAGAATGGTCACAGCTTATGAATTTGTCAGGGGAGTGAGAGATAAATAACTTGCAAACCTAGTGAAAATAGTAGTAAAAGTCATGCAACTTCTATACCATGTTGGAATTGGATATGAGCTTCTTGGTATGACAGTATTCCATTAGAATTATACTATACTATATGTCACTGAATCGAGTTTGAAGCTGCACATGGTAAAATTGTGTCTTAGAATGTGGCAACTTATCAAAACTTAAGTGTCTGAAACAGCAGCCAGTGAGTCCTAACCTTGCAGGGCAGCTGGACTCTCAAGACCATGAAATCACAAGAGAATCAGTCTTGCCAGGCTTCAATCTATACGTTTGTGACCTAACTACAGTGGTACTGAACCAATCAGCGTCTGCTGAAGAAGTACTTGCAGCTACGGGGGTGGTCGCTAGGTGTGACGCGGCAACAATGTTTGTCAAACAAGAATGTCATAGGTTAGCGTAGATGCTGCTAGCATCAGTTCTATCAGCACTGGAGAGTATTATTTCATTGAAAGAAGAGCAAAGACCGGAACTCAAGGCTTTTCTTGATGGAAAAGATGTTTCTGCTCTTCTCCTGACTGACTTATAAAAGTTTGACTATGTTATATAGTTTGTTGATCTGATTGGTTGAAGTTCGCCCGTGATAGACAGGTTGTTCATCCAATCACCCGCCAAGTACTTTTTGAAAGTGTCTGCCGTTTTCCAAACAGTTTCCAATGAAGCCTTCCCAGATGGTTCTGGGTAAATAACCATCTGGCGCAGTCAGGTTAAGTAAAAGGAAACCACAGACGGTTTGGTTGCAGCTGTGAGAAAAGATTTTGGCACTGGGCAGTAGGATGGTCCGTTTGTCCATCTGACTGTTTGTCAGAACATATCTCAATAACCACTGACCAGAATGCCAAGAAATGTGCTCTGAATAGGGGTTCTAGAAGGATTATTCCTAATAATATTGGTGACACCATGACCTTTCATCTTATGCCATG